TACAGTGACTTGGCTGGTTGAAGATCCTTATAGAGGGACCTACGAACTTTGGTCACGAGTCGTAGTTCAGTAAAGTCCGGTTGTGTGGGCCACTGTTGGTTGACTGAGAACTTCCAACGGCTGCTCCCATAGGTTCGTCCCATTCTCCAATACTGCACTCGCGCCGGCAAGTCACTTTTGCTGGAAACTCGACACCACACGAAATGCATTCCTGCTCACTCCATATCCATCTCTGAATGAATCTCTTTCCACCCCGATCTTCCATCAACATGTCATCATATACACAGTCACGTAAGCCTGTCCTCCGATCTGCAACCTCCTTGCAGATCCATCGTCCTTCAACCTCACCAATGATCAACTCACCAGTGTGGATCCAGATCTCACGGTTCCTCATGAGACTTCATCACACCAAAACGGGTGCGATTAGTGCGATCTCGCAGGAACTCATAGAGAAGGGCACCGCAGTTGAGATCTGCCTCATCTACCAAGGTTGGATCTTCATATCCACGCCAGTGCACTAGAAATTCTCGGTGGATCCGTCCATATCTAGTCCTCTTGCCAGTCCTCATATCGGAAATTCGCTCCACTTCGTATTCATCTGAATCCCGATCCTGGATCCAGCTGTATTCAGGTAGGAGAGCTTCATCGAAGTCCACCCGATCCTTCTGCCTCATCTAGGCGAGCTACTGGTCGATCTGGGAATATCTTAACCAGTTTGATCTTCGAGACATGTACTACCGGGAAGATGCTGTATGTTGATCCTGCGACTTTCAAACTCACTGCATATTCCCAGATCTTTTCAGCGACGCGAAATGGCCCATGTCATAAGTGCGCCAACTTCTTTGCATATCCCTCATGCACCCGATCCAGGTATAACCAGACCCTTGATCCAGACTCTACAGGATAAGGACGTACTAGACCATTATGTGTGTCGGTCCGATTCGCAATCGCTTCGCGTAAACGTTGGTTTACTTGTTCTCGGGGTTGTTGGTAGTACTTTTGCATCCGATATCGCCATCTCCTAGGATCTCGATCATGCCTGCGAGTGCTTCCCACCGGGATCACCGATTCCAGAGTGGATCTAGGATCCCAACCGTGTATAACGTAGAAAGGGGTTTCACCTCGGATCCGATCTCTTGCGGTATAGATCGCGAAGGTGAGCCGTTCAGAATATCCATCCCAATCACGTTGATCCAGATCTTGCATATATATCTTAAGAGCCCTGGTATTTTTCTGGACCATACGCCCTGCGAATCCATTAGTTTGGGGTCGATAAGCCATGGTAGCACGTTGACGTTGACCCAAGATCCTGTTGAAGGACTTAAAGAAGTCAGACATGAAGCATGGCTCCCGATCATGTCGGATCACCTCGCTCGCACCAAATCTGCGGAAAACACATTCCTCGTAAGTCTCCGCGATTGTTTGAGCGGATCTAGAGGCGCTGGCCTTGGCGATCACATATCCCGAGAATTAATCCGCGAAGATCAGCAATTTGGTGTTACCATTGAAGGGTCTAGGCAGCGAAGGTATGTGATCCATAGCAATGATCTGGAATGGGTATGTCGCCTGAAGGTTACCGGGCGACTTACCCTGTATCCGAGGTCGCCCCTTGCCCGTTTCACAGTCAACACATTCTCCCATATATCGCTGCACACTCTTGTACAGCCCTCTCCGGTGAAAGTGATCGCGGATCCGATCGTAGGTACGCCCGATCCCTTGATGACCACCATGCAGGCTCGTGTGATAGTGATGCAAAATGTCCTGTTGAAGCGTCTCAGGTATCAACATTCGCATCAACTTGTCTCGATCTGCAGCTGCTTCCTTAGTAGTCGGGCAGTAGAAGAGCAGATCCGACGGATCCACTTCATAATTCATGGCAATAGATCCAAACATCTTAGCATCCTCTTGTGTCAGATCCCGGATCTCCCCAACCAAATACTTCGTCAAGCCTAGGATCCACGACTCTTCATCCTGTGCTTGCCGGACCCGTTCGATCCTCAGCTCTCTCACAACCTCCTCCCGTAGGGAGTCTTAATCAGATCCAATACGCACTCCGGATCTAGCCTTAGATCGGGTCGTCACGGCTGATATTTGTGTGATCTCGTCTTCGATTTTCACTATCAAGATCACATCCAACTGATTCAAAGTTATTATATCCTGAATCTCCTTGTCGGGCCCACCTCGATCCCACATTTTCGTTGCAGAGCAGCGCTTGCTAAGCTATCAGCACTCCCGTTCCAGTCTCTTTTGACATGTAACAGCTCATGACCTGGCCAAGTACGTAGTCGATCCAAAGCCCGCCGGCGTAATAGTGTCAGGCCCGGTTCCTTACAATCGATCTCACCTCGTACTTGTGGGATCACCAGGTTAGCGTCTCCGCAGATCACCAGACGTCGCGAATCCAGATCTTCCAACAGATCCAAACATAGCAACAGCCCATGGTATTCCGCCTCGTTCACCGTCAAACCCTCGGCATACCCAGATCTAACCTTCAGCACCCTCCATTCGGGCATCTTCGACAAGATCGCGCTGTAGGCACCTCCACCTCTCTTAACACGCGCTGGTCCATCGAAACTAACGACGTATAGCTCCTCATCGCGTCTAATAGTGGGGATCGGAGCTTGGATCTTGCGTCTTGCTCCTTTTTGGGGGCAATAGAGATCATTGCCTTATTCACTTCAGATCTAGTGGTAATACTGGCCACCAATGATCCCAAGATCTCGTCCTCTCCTTTGACACACTTGGTGATCTCAAGAGTCCAGGGCGACAACAGAGCAGCCCATTCTCCTAGACGTCCTGGTAGGGCCGTGGATCTGAAGAGCCACGCCAATGTTGAGTGTCGGGTCAACACGTGGATCGGATGCCCAACCAATGCATTGTAGTTAAGATCCAGGATCCTTAGGAGGGCTAGTACCTCCTTCTCCGCGATGCCATAATTCAGCTCATTCGACTTCTGAGTGCGGCTCGCGAACAACACGGGGTAGTAGATCTGGTCGTATTCCTGCATCAAGGATCCCGAAATGGCCCAATCGCTAGCATACACTACGACCGTGGCCCTTCGATCTGGATCAAGTGCCGTAAAATCGGAGTAGTAGCGATCTTGGCTTTGAGCGCATTGAAATATCGATAGGCATGTATCCAGCGTGAATCCACCTCGGTGGGATCTGGCGCCTCCAGATCCAAAGTCTTTCGGTGGTCGACCACCTGATCTTCCTGTGATCCTTGATCCATGTCCTCCGTTTCCAACACTTGCTGGATCTGCGCTTGGATAGCCTCCTTCATCATCGCAGCAAAGTCGATTTCTCGCAATTCATACAGTACTGATGCATAAATAGCATAGTCTTCAATGAACCGGCTGTAATTGTTCAGACTTCCCAAAAATGACTGCATAGCTCTGAGTGATCCTGGAAAAGCTAGATCAGTTAGTGCCGGCAGATCCTTCGGATTCGCCTCCAGTCCTTTGTGGGAGACCTTATGACCCAGATATTCTACCTTGGGTATTCCCCAGAAACTCTTCACCACACTGATCGACAGATTCCACTTATCACATGCTTCGAGCAAACCCTCGCCTCGGTCACATAGTTGATCCCAGTTATTGGTGGGGATCAGGATGTCATCGATATATGATCTACGCCCAAGCACCGATGGTTTGCCTGGATCCAACGGTTCCCCGTCCTCAAACACATCCATAGTACTTCTGTGATCTTCAGACTTCGGGATCCGGGTTAATCCATATAACGCGTTGTCGATCATACGTTGATAGATCTGGGGCGTATGCTTCAGGCCGACAAGCATTCGATTCCACTCAAATAATCCGAAGGGAGTTATGAAAGCCGAGATCACACGAGCACGATCCGTCATTTTCACCACCCAAAATCCGCTCGCCATATCCAAAGGGCAGTACCAAAGTGTCGACTCCAGATCTTCATGTAGATCGTTGATCAAGGGCATTGGGTAGATCATCAGCTGAGTTAAGCTGTTAACCAGCCGATAATCGATACACAACCTGATATCCACTCCATTCTTCTTGATAATCACTACGATCGGGGAAGCCCATGGTGATCTTGAGTAGTTGATCATCTTGGCGGACAATAGACCTTGATCAAGTCTGCCAGCTTCTTCCTGAACTGGATCCGCAACTTACGACACTTCAGGGCGATAGATCTCGCTCCCCCGACATCGATATCGCACACCACACCTCTAGCCGCCGGCGAAAGGGCGTTTCCTTTGCCGATCAAGAGATGTCGGAACTTCCAGATCCTTTGGCGAAGTCGATCAATTTCTTCTGAGGTCTGATTATCAGATCCACATAGCTGAATGTCCTCGATCTTCACATCTTCCGTCGTCACAGACACTTCTGGCAGTACTGCCATCTGACTGTCGACATCTTCCGCGTATAGATAACTTCCTTTATGGTAGTATACACATTCATCATAATCTTGATCTGAGCTCCAGGTGAGATCCAGATCCGACGTGTCTGGTTGATCTTCAATAGCAGGTGGTGGATCCATGTCCATTTTTTGAGACATAGACGTGACGCACTTGCCGTTCAATGGATCACTGGCCACATATCTCGTCCCAGATTGTACACTCATCATTGATGACGGATCTGATCCACCGTATTCCGACGGTGATGTTCCTTGATCCTGATCTCTCGAACGTAGTTGATCCTGACTGGCGACCTCCATTCCGTCTCGGGCTTCTTCTCGCATTGCTACTACGCTTGTAGTTTCCTCCAACGACCGATTAGTCGCCCATATATCCAGCGTCGCTTGATCGAGATCTTCTAGCGCCTCCTTGACCGTCACGGCATGCGATATAGAGTCTCCGTCTGCGATAGTCGACAGATCCGACTCCTCGCTCGCGACAGACGCTAACGCTGGATCAACGTTGCCTTCGGTCTTTGGAGTATTGCGCGCGGAGTTTCGTACTCGGTCCGCTCCACCGCAGGCACCAGTGGGATCTTGGCCTCCATTTCTTCGGATCGGGCGTCTGTCGTAGCTTCCAACGCTAGCTTCTGCCACTCCATGTAACGACGAGAGCCAATCGAGATAAAACCCGGTATCCGTGGTACATGGTCACCGGCCAGCCAGATCCGGATCCATTGGTCTTGGTGCAGGATCAACACCTCGTCCCCGATGTTGGTGATTGAGACGTACTTCGTCCTCCCCGGTCCATCGGATATTGTCGGTACCCATCGATCCCCACGCGTGATCCATAGCTTGTCGTGGATCGACGACCTCAGGCGCAATGGCAGCTCCACCGACTCTCCTGCTTGGATCCGAAGGTATTTGCCGACGTTTACGATCTTCGCTTTATCGCTATAAAGCTGCCGCCTCCCGCTAAGCTGGATCCGGACTTTATCTGGCGAACAGATCGATTCATGGGCTAGATCTAGGCGGATCCCGGCTGGAACCATGAAATCTATACCAAGTATAGCTTGTTGGCCGGTCAGATCACCAACCCAGATATCGAAGAAACATACCAGTGATCCAGCGAGAGTTACCTTGATTCGGGTTCTTCCTTCCGTCTGGTACACATTTTCACCAATTCCCACAGGCCTGGATCTGACTCGAGTCGATATAGCACCCAACCTTACGAGCAAAGGCGGTGTCCACGATGGACACCTAGGTGCCGGTATCTAAGAGTAAGATCGCTGTCTCATTGTGGATCTTGCCTGTGATATTCGCTTGACGAAACCATTTACCTGAAGAATGATGCTTCCAGTAACCACGGGACTCCCCCGGTAGTAGATCCATGGTCGCTGACCGTCGGTACTCCGAGATCTTGCTAGGCCTTTGGATCTCCGGAGTCACTTCATGATCTGTGGGTTTAAACCATAGATCCGGGTCTTGCTCTCTCCAATAACCTCGTGATTCTCCTGGTTGGAGATCATGGTGACTTCGGATCTGGCATATTCGTCGACTTGGCGAAGACTTGAAATTGTGATGGTGCGTTTCCCATGCAGATCACATGTATTACCCTGTAGATCTGGCCGTTTACTAACCTGATCTACCGATGGCTTGCTCACAAATGCATAGATGAGGTATCTAGAACGCTCGGCTCGTACCGGATTCCACACCGACGAGCATCCTAGTTTAACATCTTATCAGCAGCTTCGGGTAACATACCCATGTGCTTCGTGGGTTAAATCAATGGCGGATCTGGTTATAGAACTCTTCCACCGGACATTTCCCCATGTCATGCCGTTCTCCACATCCACAACACACGAAGAGGCAGTGATCCGAGGGATGTCCTCTCTTGCCACACTTCGTGCATGTAACACGCCTCCAGCACCCAAGATCCGAGTGCTTTCTGGATCCACAGTGTGAGCACCGATCACGGTTAAAACCATGACCGTGTATCTTCGAGTTGTGATCTTGATGGCCATGATCACGGCCCGGAAGTCGTGGATCCGGGTTCGCTGACTCTTTCTCCACCTTCGGGGGACGTCTTCATTTGCTGCAAGGAAGATCCTGCGATGACCGTCGATGTCCGAGTCAGATCCACACGATCCTTCAGGCTCAATGCCGGATCCAGAGTCGCTAGCTTGGATCTGGATCGCGCGCACTTGTTTCGCTGGAGCAGAGGGGGTGTTGTTGGTTGGCTTCTGTCGGTATTTGCTGGATCCGAACGCAGCCTTCTTTTGACGATTCTTTGCGCGATCTCGAGCACGAAGAACTTCTTCAAGATCTTCCGCGTCAGTTAACCGCAGCAAGGTTAACCTTTCCGCCAGACCTTGATCCTCAAGTGTCTCGATGTAATGATCCACATGTTCACGTCGTTCCTTCGCGCTGCCATCCTTGATCTTCAATCTCGCGCGGAGCCTCGCCACGTTGAGCCGATACAATCAATCCAATGGCGACTCATCGGATCTGCGTCGCGTATTGTAGTATTGTCTTGCTACCGATACTTCAAGTCCGCAGTACTGGATCTGGAAACTTCGTAGTAGATCACTCCATTTGTTGCGAGTGGATCTGCTCAGCTGGCGATACCAGTCTTCGCGGATCCAGCGAGAAGATCTGCGAAGGTCAAACATTTTTCGTCATCCGATGCTTGAACCCGCATAAACGCCGACTTGACTTTGCTGATCCACGCTCGGGATCGGTCTTCGTCCTGATCTTTGCCAGTGAACTCTTTGAGATCCGAGATCGCGGAGATCCGAGCACGCTGTATCATGGTGGAACCCGTGGATCCAGCAGCAGCGGTGGTCACAGTGGCTTGTGCCGAGATGGGAAAGTCTACATCGTCCGGGTCATACTCCCAGCGAGATCCATGATCGGAAGATCGAATGGACTCCATCTCGACGTCTTGTGATCCTTGATGATGTGGACGTGTAGAAGCTGGGTCTTTGTTTGCCTCACGTTCTTCGGCCAGGTATCGGTCCATTGCAGCGTTGAAGAACTTCTGCAAGATACCGACTGATCGATCTGAACTCTCGGTGGCCGTGGCTTGATCCGTTGGTGCGGATCCATTATCGCGGCGACTGCTTCTGGCTGGGCTAGCGCGGCGGATCTTGGATCTCACCTCCAGCATTGATGTCCCAGAGGGTCCTAGGGACATCCGTCGCGGTGGCTCTGAGGAAGTGTCAGATCCATTATCTGCGGCTGACTCATAATGTGACGAGACTAACAAGTTATCGCCGACGTCGGTCATGATCAATGGCAGTGGATCCGGGCTCTGGAGCACCTCGCCAACTAGGATCTTCAACTTCCGGAACAGATCGCGGCTGGTAGTTTGGATCACATCAAGATCCAAGTCGAACAGTGCGTCTGCGTCGAAGGGTCCCGGGGTCATCTCGACCTCTTTCAACAGGCGGATTAGCTCCATCGCTGCATCAAATCTGTTGGCCAGTGCGGCGGGGGCAGTTACAGGTCATTTGGATCCGTGACCCGCTGGAGCTTCAGGATCCGCATCACTGGATCCTGGTCCACGAAATCACGTAGTTCCTTGCGGTGGTATATGGACTTCAGATCTTCTTCAGACCAGCCAAATCCGGGGTGATCTTCATCTTCCTAGTTATCTGGCGCTTTCATCTTCTTCCGCACAGTCTTGGATCTTGGCTTCCCGACCTCGGATCCCGAGACTTACGTGTCCTTGGGTAGATATAGCGTTGGCTTATCCGGGTCAATGAATGAATATGGTTCCGCCTTCAGCTTTGTTTGTTTTGTTAGCGGATCTTGGCGCATGTCAGGATCTGCAGGGGCCTCCTTGCCGGAGACCTGTGGAGGATGAGGCTTCTCTTCCGGATCTCGATCGGGATCCAGATCGGCCTCACTTCCGTCGCCAGAGTCCCTCCTGGCACTCTGCCGATCTAGCGTTCAGCGATGTCGTCGTCGATCTGGCATCCGACGACATCTCGTTCCCTTGTTCAGTCTTCACTTGAACTTCTTCTTGAGACTGTGATGAGGCAGTTTCCCAGTTTTCAGGATAGACTGGTTTTGGAGTGAGACAATGGAGATCCGGAGATCTTGATTGGTGGAGGTGGAGCAGATGGCATGACAATTGTGGAAAGAAAGTTGGACGTGAGTGGTGAGTGTGTGGAGAGCTAAGGATGTGCCCTTAGGTTCCGGAAGCACGCGTTTCAGTGATGTACACTCTGGAACGTACATGTGCTCGGTCCGGAGCCGCCCCCGTCCTGAACATAGATTGCCAAGAAGAAGCTTAAATTGTCTGCGTGAACGTATCGCGACAGACAACCCGTATTGCCTTGGTTCAAGGCACTAAGTATCATCTCCTCAGACTACAACGACCAAACACACCGCAAGACACCCCAAGAAAGTCGAGAACTACCATGTGTGAATTATCCAGAGTCCAAGAATACTGTGTGAATATGTTACGACTACGATGGAACGCAAATGGACCTAGAAACCAACGATTCTTAACCAACGATTCTGACTCTCATAAGTCTGAAACGAGCCTTATCCTAGAGAATTTGGGCCTCGTTCCAGACATTCCAAGCCTGGTTTCAGAGATCATCAATTACCAAGAACATTCCTAAGCTACCAAGACACTAGAGCAGCAAACCTAGATGTCCTACGACTGTGAGTGGTATGTGAGACCAAGAACCCTGTGGAGAGAAGACCAGTTTCAGAGCAGAAGAGACGACCCGAAGGCGTGGAGGTCCAAGTTTGACGACAGCGAAGTACACTCACCCTATACAAAGACCAAGTGAATTCCCCCAAAGGTATACAGAACATAAGATATTACCAGAATGATTTAGAAAGAAGGTAGCCGAAGTATAAGAGTGATAAACAGAGTTAGTTTTACCGAGTTAAGCGCAAGTCGAATTCGTTCGGGGACCCGCAAACGAGGGCGCG